TGCCATTTTCATTTCTCTTTTAAAACGCTCTTGGTTGTAGTATGAGGCTATTGCTGGGTGAAGATACTTGACAGCTACTTTTAACCCATGAAATACTCCAACCATGACAACACCATAAGCACCTCTACCCAATTCTTTATCTGTAAGTTTAACTTCCTTTTCATCTATTTGCCAAGCACCACATAAAACACTACATTCATTTTGACATCTACGAGTTTCTTCTTGAGATTTGCATAACCATTGTTGCAGCGCTGCCTTTTCAAGCTGAAAGTCGCGTGACTTCTGTGCTTTTTCATCTTGAGATTGAATTAGCAGTTGCTGTAGCTGTTCCTTGTGCCTTTCAATATTTTTGAGTGCTCTCTCTTGCTCCTCATTAGATTTTTGAAGTACTGCAATTAGGCTCTGAGAGTTACGCAACTGTTGTCTTAATGTATCTTTCTCTTTTAACTGTTGTTGGGCATCCTTGACAATTCTCTCTTTTTCTTTTTGAACAGCATCCTTTTCTTCCTTAGACCTATCTAAGTCATGCTGGCACTGTTCAAGCATCATATCTTTCTCACTTAGATTTCTCCTAACATCAAGTAGTTCTTTTTTCTTCTTGTTAAGTGAACTTTGAAGACGAGATATTTGTGATTGTGTATTTCGAGCTTGTTGCTCATTTTCTGTTTGGGATTTTTGTAAAGCTATATCTTTTTGCTTTATTACTAAATTCATTTCTTGGAGCTTATTTTTTGCTTTCCCCATTATTCGCTCTTTCTCTTCCTGAACTTCTTCTAACTGCTCTTCATGTGCCTCACGTACTTTTTTCAACTCCTCCTCTAAGATTACATTTCTTTCAGCTTGCTCTCTGCATGCTTGAATCGAAGTCAACAAATCAGCATTAATTCTTTCAATATAATGCTGTAGTTGTGGGTCAATGTTTCTGCCTCTCATGTTTTGCAAAAGTTGCAGTATTTCACACGAAACCTCAAGGCTTGATGATTCTGTATCCTCATATTTGCTTTTATAACGCCCAATAATCATGTCAATTGAATCTAGAGTATCACCTACTCTCCACTGTCTGTCAATAACTATAAAAAGAAAAAAATTGTTTTTATTGCGGTTCTAATTCAGCTAGTAAAAATAAATCAATGACAGCTAACCTAGTAGCTCAGTTGACATGGTGATTTTTGGAAAATTCTGAAGTTTTTTTGACATATCTAAGCCACCTATTGTTAACAGTACCACAATACCAGGTCTTATAGTGAAAGAAGAAAGAGAGTGACACCATCTCTCATTTGCTGCCAAAGGCACAGCCATCTATTTAGAAATACACTCAATCAGTTTTACAATATTTTTGACAAAAAGCAAATTTGTTGCAGATTATTACTTTATTCCATGATGTATGGTTAAAATCAAATATCCAAAGTTCATCTCTTATGTTTTTTTTTGTCCTTTCCTCCAGTTGTTACAAGTATAGGATTATCACAATTAGTGATGACAGTGGCTGCATGGCCCCACCTCCCATCAGGCCAATTGTCTATTGTTTCAGGCCTCTCTATTTTTTGCCAGACCTATAGATACAGGAGAAAAAGCATAAAGTTACATTTATGGAAACTAAATTTAAATTCTATAACATACCACTGCATTGACTGTTGTATTTATAACATAAAGAATGTTGCTGCAAACTATGTCATCATTCTCGCTTGTGGCTCCACCAAAAACAACTGTTCTACTGTTATCTATCTTCTTCATGACAAAGAAACTTGCAGGTGGCATAAATTGCCCAATAACATCAGGTATGCTCCAACTTCCTATAGTTATACATTCAGTGTAACAGTGATAAATAAAACTTTAAACTCACTTGTTAACAAATTATACATTGAGTGTTCATTAGTACGCCACTTATTTGTTCCAATATTAGTATAACCAACATTTTGTACCGGTACAACAGGGTTTGACCCTCTCCCTCCTATCATCAGCAGATGATGTATTCCATCATTTTCAAACGATATCGTTCCACCATAAGCTCTGCTCATAACAGCTCTATCTGGATCTGTTGATTCCAGTGATGTCCAACTGAGATTACTTGTATCTAATTCTGACAAGCTATTGTGATAGGAATAATCTTCAGTGCTCAGCCCACCAAAATAGTATATTCTGTCAGCTACTACAGAGCAACTGTAACCAGAATCTGCTAATGGAGGGTCTCCAGTTGTTTCTTTTGTGGACCATTCACCAGAAAGAATAGAGAAGTGGTTTATGCTTTCGGCATCACTAGATCTGTCTTCTTTGCCAGCCCATATATATAAGGAGTTTCCAACAACTGCTGATGAATGTGAATGCCTGGCAGACAATTGACATCTAGCAGCTAGTTCTGTATAAAAAAAGAAACAGTTCAGAAATTGATTCAATTTCATTTTGCAGTGTGCATACATGCATGCATGAAAATCAAACTTACGAAGTGACATCAGTAATGTTACAGTCCTAAGTTTCTATACAATTAATGAATGATCCTTTTGTCCAATCCAGTAGTGATTTGTACAAAGTCAGTCTTAAAACCAAGCTTAAGGCTCACAGCTATTCTAGTGCTTTGATTTCAGAGTTGCTTTAATAGAGGGTGGACGTCACTAGAGGGTGAATATCAAGTAATAGTAATATATAATATCAGTTCATTGCATGCAAGTCACATGATGAAAAATCGACTAGATAATACTAAAAACATTAGTCTGGTATGTCCAAACTATCAAAACATTATCTCAAGAGGCATATCACACTAAAAGGTGTGTTAAAATAACACAGAATTTTGTCTCAGATTTTAACAAGTGTGTCCTTTTAGCACATTTCAACAAATGAATACATTTATCAAATAGCACAGTTTTTGTGCTAATACAACACACTGGTGTGTTATAATGGTCAGTGTATATTTCCGCCGTTCAAAATTCCTATTGTAAGGAATTTAGATTTTATAGTAATTATCCAATAATCTAATGTCTTAATAATAGATATTTTGCAATATTCAAGTAAATCAGTAATTTTAAAAACTCTAAACATTGGTTTTTAAATTAAGCTATGAAGTTCCAAAATTCTAAAGTTCTAAACTCTGGATTTTTCAATTAAGCTATGAAGTTTCAAAAGTCTAAAGTTCTAAACTTTGGATTTTTGAATTTAGCAATAATGTTTCAAAATTCCAAAGTTCTAAATATTAGATTTTTGAATTTAGCCGGAAATTTCTAAAATTCCAAAGTTCTAAATGTTGGAATTTTGCTTCTACCTGCAAAATTCTAAAAGTTCTGAAGTCC